ATTTCAGTTTCCACCTTCTGGTTCCTCTGCGGCATTAGTCATTTCGGACTAGTCCATTCCCTTCTTGACTGTTTCCTTGGCCTCTCAGACATGTCTTTCCTTGCTTCCCCTCAATGCCCTGGCTGTTCCTTCTTTGTTATCACCTTGGACTCGACTTTCTTTGACACTTTAATGCCAGCATCCTTCAGAGGTCTGTTCTGAGATGTGTTTTCTTCCTATAGTACACACCTTCCTGGGATGACTGTATCTACACCCATCACTTCAATTTTGCGAATGACTTCCAAAAGTCTATCTTCAGATCCCTTTCCTAAGCTTCCTTCTCTGCTGCCTCTGGAACATTCCATACACACCTCAAGCTCAGACTGAAAGCAGAATGCAGAGCTTTTCTGCTGAATCCAATGATCTGCCTGTGCTCCTTACCTCAGTGGCAGGCGAGTATCACTATCACTCTAGCTCCCATTCTAAAAACCAAGAGCTCAATCTCACTACCTTCCTTACTCTCCACATCGAGTCACTCACAAAGTCCTGCATATTCCACCTTCTCTCTCCCTGTGGAAGGCACCAAATTTTATCTGCCCTCCCTGTCACTCAGCAACCATTCTCTCTCAACCTTGATGACCGAACGAGCCCCCTAATGGGTCTTCAAGCCTCAGGTGTTGTCCAACTCCGATCTATTGAACTGCTGGTCAGACAGAGCTCTCTGAAATCAGCCAGGTGTGGTAGCGCGCGCCTGTAGTGCCGGCTCCTTGGAAGGCGGAGGCGGAAGGATCGCCGGAGCCCAGCAGGTCGAGGCTGCGGTGGCCGGGAGTGGCCACTGCCCTCCGGTCTGGGCGACAGAGTGAGGCTCCAACTCAAAAAAAAAAAGAAATGCATGGCTGTGTGTGCTTCTGCGTGTTCAACGCGGCCTTCCCGCCACGCTGAGGAAAGTGGCAAACCTTTGGTGCATGGGCCCTTGAGTCTTCCGTGGCCTGCCTTGGCTCGCTTCTCCAGCTTCAGTCCTTGCCACTCCCTCAGTCTCGTAGTCAGTTCATTAAGTCCCAGGTGCTCTCTCTTTATGCCTGGGGTCATTTCCCTGCACAGATTTTTCTCCCTGACCAGACACGTCCCGTGTCCCACTGCTTCCCCAAAGACATGTTCTTCCACTTCGTCTGATCTTGGCTCAGACCACTCCTTCTGGGAGCTTCCCTGATCCCTCTGGCTGGGCTCAGGTGACTTACGGCATGCTCCCACTGCACTTGGCACTTCCCCTACCACGGCAGCCACCTCATTATGTCATAATGGTTTCTCTCGCGTACTTATGACCCTTACACTACTTAATGCGACTTATCGCACCCCTCGTGCCTCTGGCAAGGAAAGGGCTTGATAAGTGCTCAGAAAAAAGTATCAAGGCTATGTCAGGAGTTTGAAGTTTACCCAGTAGATAAATAAGTCTCAGCAATAGTTTCTTTTTTATTGAGTTGGAGTCTCACTCTGTCGCCCAGACTGGAGTGCAGTGGCCACTCCCGACTACCACAGTCTCAACCTGCTGGGCTCTGGCAATCCTTCTGCCTCAGCCTTCCAAGTGGCTGGAACTACAGGCGCATGCTACCACGCCTGGCTAATTTTTTATTTCTTATAGAGATGAGGTCTTGCCAAGTTGCCCGGGCTGGTCTCGAACCCGCGGACTTAGGCAGTCCACTCACTTTGGCCTCTCAAAGTGCTGGGATGACAGGCTGAGCCACCAAGCCCCACTCAGTAGTAGTTTTCAAACAGAGGAGTCTTATGATTCAACTGTCAACATCATGAGGACGGGGACTATCCTTCTTGTGTTTACCACTGCATCCAAAGCACCCAACATAGCATCTGGCACTTAGTAGACACGCAAACATTCATTGAATGAATAGACACAGGAATGAAGTCTTTCTAGAAAGATGACTTCAGCTAAGATGGAGAGCACGGATTGGAAGGCAAAGGCTCAGTGTGGTGAAATCAGTTAGCAAGATGTGGCAAACAAAAGCAAGTAAAGCATCATCAGTGAGGAAGTTTTTCAGAAGTCATACTCAAGAGACATTCCCAAGAAAAGATAGAAGGAAAAGAAATGGAGGCTATTTGGATGTGAAGACAAGGAAAACAGAACTGCTGATGAGGCAAACCTCTCTGGTTTGGGTGATGGGGACGAATGTAACTATGAACCAACACGAAGAATGTATGGGACGAAACAGAACCCCAAGGAAGGTTGCGCTGAGCAGGAGACGACCCCTGGCCCTCAGGTGGATGTGCCTGTCAGTACCTGGGTAGAGCATGTAGGGGAAGGGAGGCTGGAAAAGCAGACCAAGACCCTCAGGTGGTGGCTGAGGACAGAGGTTCTCGAAGGGTGGTGGGGAAAACAAGAATAGAGATGTGAGGGAGAGAAACATCTGAGTAGTAAGACAAGGGAAAGGGTAGAAGGAAATGGTCAGAGGAAGGAAGGTGGCACTCAAGCATAGTGCTGTGCAGCTGAGTGAGAAAGGGTTTTCAGAGCTTGGGTGAAGTCAGCTGTGTCAAATGCTGAGGAAGTTCACATAGAATGAAGATGGCGATTAGGAGGCCTATGGTGACCTTTGGTGACCTTTCTTCTTTGAGTTGGAGTCTCACCCTTGTTGTCCAGACTGGAGTGCAGTGGCACGCTCACAGCCACCGCACCCTCGACCTGCAGGGCTCAGGTGATCCTTCTGCCTCAGCCTTCCAAGTGGCTGGAATGACAGACGTCTGCCACCACTCCCGGCTAGCTTTTGTGATTTATGGTAGAGATGAGGTCTCACTGAGTTCCCCAGACTGGTCTCGAACCTCTGGGCTCAGGCAATCCTCTCGCCTCGGCCTCCCAAAGTGCTGGGATGACAGGCTGAGCCACCACGCCTGGCCTCTCCGGTGACCTCTGAAGTTGATTTCAGTGGTTCCTGGAAAATGCTGCTGCAAGGTGAGAGGGACTATTTCGCAGCAGAGACACTGGGGATCATGAATATGAAGCAGTTTTTTCAAGAATTTGATGGTGACAGAACAGAGGGGGGTAGGGAAGAACGTGAAAGGAGATTAAGGGCGAAGAGAAGTTTCTTCCTTAAAAAAAAAAAAAGAATCCTGAGCCCGCGGGTTCGAGACCCGCCTGGGCAACCTGGCGAGACCTCATCTCTACAATAAATCAAAAATTAGCCGGGCATGGTAGCATGCACCTGTAGTTCCAGCTACTCGGAAGACGGAGGTGGAAGGATCGCCAGAGCCAGCAAGTCGAGGCTGAGGTGGCCAGGAGCAGCCACTGCACTCCAGTCTGGGCGACAGAGTGAGACTTCAACTCAAAGAAACACACAAACAAACAAAGAAAAAAGAATCCTTTTACAACCTGGTGAAGGAGGAGGTAGGAAAGGAGGAGCGAGCAATGACATACAAAAGGATGAAACAGAATCAGCCTTAGTGAGGGCAGAGATAAACCCCGCTCCTGAGCCAAAAAATGAGGGCTGCAGTAACAGCTACATTAAGAAATTGAGAAGAAGGAGGGTGGGGGACAACCTTGTCCCATGGCTTCTTTGTTCTTCTGTTAGGAACGGCCCACTTCCAGGGTTCACGGAAGATGAATGAGCTTAAGAAGCGTGGTAAGAGGTCAGAGAATGGAGGTGACCGGAAATATATAAAAGGGCTTCTGACTGTGGGCGAGGACCCAGCTGAATTCAGAAGTCATGCGTCTGGAATGGCACCATTCTACCTGCTGGACAGTTTCTCCAGCCCTGCCGGGTTGTCTTGGAGCAGAGGAAGTGTGGGAGTGGATTCAGCCAGGGGTGCGGGCCGGCTCGACGGGTGCAGTGTGAGAGGCTGAGGAACCATGAGTCCTAGTAAGGGTGTCCCTGAATTCATGTACCATCTGTCTCAGCTGGGAAAGAAGAAAAGCTATGTGAGGCCCAAGAGAGAGACAGAACAGACAGGAGTCAAGGAACCAGACACTGTTGTTTCCTTGTCTCACCTCTCAGCTTCCGTGTCTGCAAGCTTACTAAGTATTCAGAGCCTGTCTTCTCCATCATCATATCTCCAGGGCCTTCCCCAAAGGAAGTACCTGACCGTGCTTGCTTGAGGTGAAGAAGGGATCCAGTTCGGCAAGCTATGGGTTGTCAGGGAAATCCAACCCACCCTCTGTCTTTGGATGGCACTTTAGTTAAGGACGTTTTCAAATATTTTTAAGGGGTTGAAAAAAATTAATAACAATAGCATTTTGTGACCCATAATAACTATATGAAATGGAACACAGTCATGCTTTTCGTTTACGTATTGTCTATGGTTACTTTTGACCTACAATGGCACAAATGAGTGCTTGTGACAATAATTGCATGGGCTGTGATGCCAAAAATATTTATTATCAGGCCTTTTACAAAAAAAAGAAAAATGTGCTGACCTCTGAACTATGGCACGGACCTATGGGAGAGAATATAAGTGGATCCATCAAGTGTGGTCAGGATGGATTGTGTGTATGTATGCAAGGTGGTCGTGTCTTTCTGACATAAACAACTAGCTTCAAACAGAGAAATAAAGGACTCCCAGCTATTATCTTTTTTTTTTTTTTCTTTCTGAGACTACTTCATGGACTGTGTGTATGTATGCAAGGTGGTAAGAAAGAAGTCCTCTGTAATTTCGTTCTTACTTCTATTTTTTTTCCTTTTTGGAGTCAGGCCGGCTACTGCAGCCTCCACCTGCTGAGCTCAGGTGATCCTTCCATCTCAGCCTTCCACGTAGTGGGGACTACAGGTATACACCACCATGCCTGGCCACTTTATTGTAAAGAAGAGGTCTCGCCAAGTTGCCCAGGCTTGTCTCGAACTCCCGATCTCAAGCAATCCTCCTGCCTTCGCCTCTCAAAGTGCTGGGGTTACAGGCACAAGCCTCCATGTCCAGCCCTACCCTGTAATTTCAAAGGTGCACAGGACCTCTAACTTCTTCCCAGTCATTACTCTGGATACTATTCCTCAGGGTGCACCACAGCCTGATCCCAACCCAGGACTCACCTCCCAGCTCTTGGTGGTTGGCTCGCTGAAGAAGTTGTCGATCATAGTCAGTTCTTCCTTCTCCACCACCACAAAGCCTTGCTCTTTGGCATCCTTCCCATAGACGTCAGGAGACCACTGAACAAAGAACGTGTACAGATGATCCACCCTGAAAAACACGTTTGTGACAGGCATTAACACCAAGTCTGCTTTCCTGGCAGGCTCTAGCAGGGACCTGGATATGCAAACCTTATTTTCTCTGTTTGGCATATCTGTTTTGCTACCCGGAAAATTTCCCACTATCAAGATTATCTCTACAAATGGCCTTCCAAACTCAGAAAATAAGAGCCAATAAATAAAAGTGAAAATTCACAGGCACTGAGAAATAGCTAAAACTGTCTTTTAATCTGGGGGAAAGATCAAGAGATGGGACATACATCTGAGAAACACAATGAAATATTTATATCAAATGATTTTTTTCTCATTGATTCTTCATTTAAATGGACACGTATTCACTGGGAGAAAAAATGAAGATCTGAAACTTTAGCTAGGAACAAAGAAAAATGAAGATCTGGAACTTTAGCTAGGAACAAAGAAAAACAGTACTTTGGTCTTTATGTAGACCAAAGTACTATGATACTGTAATTTTAAGAAAATATCTTTGATAACTAGAAAGTATCAGGGATAATACTAGCTTCTATTTTAGTATTAGAGATCTAATTTTATTGACACAGGAATGTACTTTGCTTCCACTATACATATTTACTATATGAAGGTTCTAAAGCATCTCTCCAGGAGTAATCAAAAGAGATATGCCTAGTTCCAGAGCAGAGAATGGACATTCTAGCTGGAGTACCTGCAATATCTCCCCAAGCTCATGTTCTAACCATCACAGCAGGGCAAAAAGGCCATTGTAGAATAAAAGGATTCTTCAAGTCTCGTCTAAGCACAAAATAAGTGACGATTCCAATTTGAGACTACTGTTTAGCACAAGGTTAATTTATCATTAATTTTTTAAAATTTTGATTACATAATATTATAATAGTATTAATAGGTCTAAAACAGAAACAGAAATATCATCCACAATTCTGATATCCAAATAGATCCAAATGTTTTTAGGTTTCCACGTGCCTGTCTGTTCTTGTCCATAAGTACACACAGTTTTCTTTTCATTGTAATCAGAGTCAAGACATAATTGTTTGTAGTATGTAACATTATATAATACATGTTTACCACTTGCTAGTCTTTGAAGTAACTTTTGACTGCTACATTCTATGAAGTTAATAAATTACAATTAGCCTGTATTCTTATGCTATCGAGATATTTAGCTTGTTTCTATTTCTTTGATCGTAAAAATGATGTTACAATAAACTGTATGCCTTTCACCATCATTTCAATTATTTCCTCAAGATCAGTTCTCAGAAAAGGGATTACTGGGCCAAAAGGCATGATTTTACAAATCCTGATTAATCCTTCCAAGCCTAACTAGTTTACTCAGACATCAGCATTGCAGTTTATATCTAAGTTTTGTAACAACCTTGCTTATTCTTTTTTTTTTTTTTTTAAGGAGTTTAATATATATAACTTCTACCTGACTCAATTTGCATTTCATTGAGCGTTAGGGGCTTGAAGATTTTTCAATGTTTTCTTCCTGGTTATAGCTTTTCTTTTGTGAATTGGCTCTTTGTGATCTATGGCATCAGTGTTCTTTTTAATTTGTGGGAACCTTTATGTAATGTGAACATTAACCACTATCAAACGTGTTTCCAAGCTGTTGTTTTCCTTTTTATATTAATGACGTCTTTCCTCCCATAGGGCAAAGTTACCAATTTGTATAGACTTTAAAGGTATACTTTCTTTTAGATTTCTCTTTTAAAACCTGGAAAGTTGTCACTCAAAACAAGATGAATATTAGAATATATGTTAACATTACTATTAAAAAATAAATATAACTATTGATATATGCTATGATTATGCATGGATATGATGGTTATGTTTCAAATGGATGAGGCCAGGGTACTCAGTTTTTGGCCAAACACCAGCCTACAAGTTGCTATGAAAATCTTTTAAAGATGTGATTAACATTTAAATCAGTAGATTTTGAGTAAAGCAGAGTACCTGCCCTAATGTGGGTAGGCCTCATCTAATCAGCTGAAAGCCTTTAAAGAAAAAGACTCAGGTCCCTTAAGGAAGAAAAAATTCAGTCTTCAACTTTCTTCAGACTTGATACTGTAACATCAACTCTTCCCTGGGTCTCCAGCCTGAAGGCCTGCTCTAAAAAATTCAGACTTGCAGTCTCAAAGCACATAAGCCAACTTCTTAAAATAAGCCTATATAATATACATCCTATTGATTGTTTCTCTGGAGAAAGTTGACTAATCCAATGTACTACTCCAAAGAGCTACAAAAGAAACTGATCAAAATGGCTACCTCAGGGAATGAAAGGAATAGAAGAAAGGCATTTTATATCATATGTTATCTTTTTATTTTTTATTTTTTTATTTATTTTTATTTTTATTTTTTTTTGAGTTGGAGTCTCACTCTGTCACCCAGACTGGAGTGCAGTGGCCAAAAAGATAGATATGATATTTTAATATTTGGAAAGGTGGTACATTTATAGGAGTCAAGCATCCAAATTATATTTTAAAAGACATAGATTTTTAAAGTAACAAATAAGATCAGAACCCCAAAAAAACAAAAACAAAAAACCATATAATGTGAAGTTTCCTTCTTACTCACACTGTCTACCCAAACCCCATAAGTGATTACTTTATTCATTTCTTATATTTTGTAGCATTATTATATAAATATGAATACATATCTTTTTTGTCTTCCCTTTATTATTATTCTGTATCTTTCTTTTTCATTGAATGTTATCTTAAATATCTACATGTCACCAGTACTGTATATAGGCAGCTTCCTCATTCTTTCTGTTATGACTACACAGTACTGTACTAAGTGAATTTACCAAACTTTATTCTATGTAGTTGGACATGGGTTGCTTCCAAGATTGTTTTGTAATAAACAATGTATGATGAGTTAACTTCGTAATTGAGTCATTTTCAAATGTCTACAGGTATAACCGCAGGATATATTCCCAGAGGTGGAACGACGTTGTCAAACAATTCACTTATCACTTTAACATATAACACCCCATCATTCTATATAGGGATTATACTAGTTTTGCCCTCCCACTAGCCATATACACCTCTTCTGAGCAACTCTTTTTACCATGTGGTATGAACTTCCCTATTAAAAATTAACTTAGAAAATATGAAACAAATCACTACTCCAAGCCACTAGAGAGGTCTGATAAGCACACAATTATAACTCTCTTCACTTTTTTAATCCTTAAAAATGTAGTCCATCCTAAATGCATTTTGGAGTAGAACTGAGAACCAAATATGCTCCACTCTGACTTCTGGAAAAGGAAGCAAGTAGCACATGTATATTCACATCAGATAAAATCTGTGGGCACAAATGGCTTCCTTACAGGTTGTTGGCTGGCTAGCTTTGAGAAAAAGCAAATACCTGGGAACCAGCTTGGTACTGTCAGCTGGGCGTTGGTGTTGCTAGAAGCTGGCCCAGCACTCGTAGTGATGCTTGGTGGTTTTCTGTTGAACATAAATCCGCGGAACATCAATATCAAACAAAGCTAGTCTACGGCAGTGACGGGTCACAACAGAAACAGGACGACTTTTTAATTGTATCTGAACACAAATGAAACCACAAACGTGGTCCAGACACAATGAGTCAACGTATTTGAATCGTGTGAGGGGCTGTGCTTCTTCACCAGTTCCAGCATCAGTTTCTCAAATCTTCTCTCCTTCTGTGTAGATGTAACAAATTACCCAATTATAAAATTACCCCTACTTCCTGACAGCATCCCATCTAGAGCAAAGCCCTGCTTCCTTAAGTCCTCCCCGAAATCACCTAACACAAACCTGAATCCTCTAACTTTTTTCAAACACCCCGTTACTGAGAAGGCCCATGGTCCTTGACAGTATGTTCTCCCTCGTTCCAATATGCCGACCCAACTAGTTCAACTACAGGTATGTCCTTGGTGGTCTCTGTCCAGAAGGCATCGCTTTCTTTGACAACGCTTTTTGTGTACCCACGATGTGCCCTCAGCCCTGTCTTGGTGAAGCTTACCTTCTAGAATATTAGATCTGGACACTGGAGGGCATTTAATTCAACTTACTCTCCTTAGGTAACAGGAAATGAGGACTCTGAAATCAGGATCACAGCTAGGACTGGATCTCCTGATATGATAATCAGGGTCCTTTCTACCACATTACACAGTCCTTCGCCTCATTCCATATTGCTTTCTGAACCATTTCCCAGCTGATTTCTCTAGTTATGACACAAAACTGTAAGGGAATGAGAGATAAATTACAGATTTAGAGTTTAAGATTCATTTCTTATTAGATATTACAAGAAAATGGAACATGTGAACAGTGAACATTAATAAAGATATTAGGGGGATAACCTATCTTTGCAATGGCCAGTCGCTTCCCTTTCTGGTGGCAGAGACATCAAGTTGCTCAGGGAGACCATTTGAACTGTCCTGTTTAATTATGTAGACAGATGTACCGTAAGTAGGGCTTATTATTCCAGGGGGAGGAGATAATTAGGCACTTACTGCTTGATGAAGACCACTCATCTACAACCCATTGGGGAGGTGGATGAGGTAGATGGTTGGAGAAAGAGAAGATTTGGATAAGGTCTAACGGATTTCCTGCGGGGGAATCAAATGTCTAAGACCCTCTCTTTTGAAGTTCAATAGCATCGGAACTTCTCTGATGAATTAAGGTGATCCCAACAGAGGTAAACCCATAAGAAAAGATGTCGCCCCTGTCTCCATCTCATTGCTCCTGAAGGGAAACTCTCCAAGAGGTTGGGGAAGTGGTCAGGTACTGCTATTATTATTTTGGGAGTAGGCAAACTTGAGCCTGATGTGTTACTGATTCTGAAACTTAGACCAAGGCCTCTGCCGTTGTAGGCATGTTATGGAAGGAAATGGCTGCATGCGTATATGTGTGAGTTACTTAGAAGTCGTAACTCGTGGAAGTGGGATTGAGTGACGTGGGGTGTAAAATCAATTTTGGCACGAAGCATTCTTGCCTGCTGGTGCCATTTTCTCTAGAAGAAATATCTCAGACTAGGGCA